AGGGTTGCTAGGAGCTCCGAAACTGTGGGGATCTCTTTCCCTCTATTAGCATTTTTCTCTTGCCATCTCTGAAACTCTACCCTTCGTCTGCTGAAATAACTTTCTCCTGCTCTGTCTCCCTGTTGTTCATTTTCCTGCCTGAGTTTCATGAAGTTACTCTAATAAAAGTCTATAGGCATGTTCCAGTCGCCCAACAGTCCCCTGCAAAGACTTGCAGTGTATTTGAACACCTTAAGCAAGATTCCACATCATATAAAGTTTATATGTTTAGTCATTAGTATCGGTTCAGTATTGTTGTCTTTGAGTGTTTCAATGTATTATTTTAACAGTGAAGCATGTTATTTGAAATATGAATGTTTCGAAAAATGCATAAACAACCAGACTTTGTGATTTTTTTTCTTTTTTTTTTTTTAGCTAATAGTATGCTGATATAAGCAAACAGAAATCATGCTATTTGTTTGTTGCTATTGTAAAGGTTTTACGGTAAACAGTGTTTCATGTGCCTTTATTGTTGTAAACATCAAACTGAAGATCAGACCACATTAGCAGTTAAGTCGCATATGTATTAAATACAAAAAATCCTTATAAAACATTGCAAACAATCATTTAGCACTTGCAATAGGGGTTTTGGGTATGAAAAATCATATTTTTTTTTGAAAATACATACAGCACCATTTAGAATGATTAAGGACAGTTTTTTTTTATTTGAAAAAGTTGTACAATACAAATGGCAATATTGTGAATTATTAGACAAACTGGATCGAGCTACAGAGCAATACAAAATATCGTGCAGTGTCTGGTTGTGGAAGAAGACAGTCGCTGCATAAGCGTTCTCTGGATTCCAATAGGACTGCATGGTTAAACTATTTTTAATGACGTTCCAGCTAATGAGGGTAAAACATTGTCCGTCTGTTTGCTTCATTTCACTGAGGATTGTTTTATAAACAAGACTGGATTTGCGGACCGATTAAGAGTAAAGAACGGTGCTGTGCCGTCTATATTGGATCCAACAGGAATGGTGCAACACACGGACTCTGGGTTGAACATGTATGGGCGAATCATTCCGGTTGACATTTTACAACATTGGAAGTTTTCAAAACAATTTCTCCCATGTGCGCTGACGAGTGAGTTGAAACTCATTATAATATGCAAAACTGTTATCCACTCACAGCAGTGGGCGTCTACTTCCAAGTCTTCAGTGCGAGACACCCATAAAAACCGAGCATTTTTGAGCTAGGCTCAAAACTAGGGTAGAAAATAGCCTATTACTTGTTTTTGAATGTAAAAACCAAGCGAACGTCATAACCTCAGACAACAATATAATAAAATTTTCATACCCAGTTCATGACCCCTTTAAATATACTTGTTGAGTAAAAGTAATCGTTTCTTTTTAAACAGGAAAAAACCCAAAACAGACTCTGTTTGTATTTTTTACACCTGTATATTATGTCACCATACCCAGAATCCTGATGTGTTGTCTGTTTAATAATATTGCACTGTTCCAAACTATTTTTTTTGTTGTCGATCATCTACGCAGGCCCTAGTCTATGTGAATCAGAAAGCAGCTCAAAGTTTCCCTCCTCCTTTTTGTCTCTCAGCATGGCAGGTAGAAGCTTGTAATTGTATTTAAAACTCTCATTTGACTCAAGCCCCTGGTGGTGAAGAAGACGAGCATCAGTTTCGGCATCCATTTGAGCCTTTATTCAAAGCTTCATAATTACCACCAGCGAGGAAAAAAACCAAGATGAGAGAGAAAAGAACAAAGAGAGAGAATAAGACTGACCCATGCAGAGCTTTGGCTTGCCTTCCTTCCTTCCTTTTCAGATCTCTTTTTGTCACACACTTCCTCCAGAAGTCTCGCTGTGACCCAGATCAGTGGCGCTTCAACAGAAATCCTGTCCTAAAGCATCTGTCTGATAATGAAAAGCCAAGTACACAGCTTTGGATCGCTGTTATGGCTGCCCTGTCTCATTTTTCTGAGCGAAGCTGAGCCGGATAGATCAGCATGGAGCTTGTTGGATAATGATACGATGGTATTTCTTATGTTTCTGCAAATTATTTTGACTAATTGAAATGAACGCTTGTTTTTGAAAAGGCAGCGTGAATTCCAGTTTGCAAAGTTTTGAAATGGCATGATATTCAACAGGAAAACATAGAGTGCACTGTGAAAAAAGATTGTTCAATGGTTGTAAATTAAGGCGAGACACGGCAGGCAAAAACATCGTTTTTTTTCACTGGTCAATTTTGAGATTTTGGGATATTTTTCTTCAATAACATGTCTTCTTTCAGACTTGTGGTGAAAAGAAAGTCACCACGCTCGTGTGTAGATTTCTCATAAATGTTTCAAAAGTTGTCGTTATAAATGATCCCTCTGCTCAGCAATCGCGATCTGCACCCTGTCATCAAACACACAGTTAGAAAGCTCTTTCTCCTGTACAATGCTGTCGGATCCAAATATGGTCATTTCCTTTTTTATCAGCAACCAATCATGAAAGAAAAGGGGGGATTTAACTCTAAATGCGCAATCTCATTGGCTGATGCTAAATTTTTAAAGCCAGTTTTCTCAATGACTTTTCTCTCATACCCCAAGTCCGAAATCTCCACTTCAGTAGCACCTATATACACCAGACTTTCATTATGAAGACATTTGCTGAGGGATTTGTAAATATATTATTCCTTGCCTAATTTATATAACATTTTATTCCAAGAAACATGGCAAAAATCATTTTTTTTAGGCTACTGACAGTATATTCTGATTTACATGATAACAAAAGTAGATATCCATAAATCCTTCTGTAATTTTTTTTTTCTCATCTAAAATGTGAACTCAATGAAAAATAATTTTCAACCTGGCTTTATCCAATACTCAGATTTTGTTTTTTTAAAAATATATGCAAATTAGTGCATATTTAATTAGATAATGCTTCATTTGCATATTTAAACATTAAATTACACAAAACTTGTGTCTCGCCTAAATTAAACAACGTTTATTGGAGTACATTTTACAAGAAAATACAGTGTGGGGATTTAATTTCTTTTGCTTAAACTTTTTTTAATTGCCAAGTACACTTATGGTTTCGCCCTCGATAATAATAACTTTAATTTGCTTTCATTCACTCATTACAGGCATTCAGGGTGTAAATGACAGAAAAATGCTGTCTTATCTCTGTGACGGTCATCTCATTGGGTGGCAGAAGCCATTAACGGCGTCAAATCAAATTTCCACTCAATTTGAGTGATATCAAATTACTTTTTTTGGATTGCCATGGCGATGCTTGTATAATCTCCGGTGAATCTACTGGTTCATTAGCATGTCTTATGTCTTAAGTGGTGACAATCGATGTTGAGCAATCGCAGCCATTACCCAAAGTGGAGCTGTAATGAAGCCAAGGCATCGGCTTCTTTTTCTATTTCTGTTTGTTTCTCACGTCTCATTTTATCCCTATTTTAACACCGAACTTACCTCCGCTGATGCCTGGATCTCTGCTGTGCACATCAATTTCACTGTGCTGATGATTGTAATGTGGATGCCAGAGGCTGAGACAGAGCACAATTCCAACAGTAAATGACTGCTGCCAGTTGGCTGCAGTGTGAGTGTTTTTGTGTGCATGTTTGTGTGTCAGTGTTTTTTTCCTCAATTTGTTCTTATTGCCTGCACTCTCCCCTGAGGTACTTGTGTTGACGGTTGCTCTATTTTTGCTGGATGAATGTTTGTACAGTTCAAGGGGCAGCTCTCTGTGAAATGTTAGATTTTCAAATTGTTGCTTTTTTTTTTTTTTTAAACCTTCCGCTTTGGTAAGCGACTGGGGGCCGCCTCCTGTGTCTCACCCTGAAGAGCTGTTTTGTTAAATCGCTGAATTGCACCTTTAAACACTGCATTCAAACCCTTCAATCCACACAACATATTTTGAGATCATGCGCAAACCATTTCAACAGCCGATTTTACCTGTTCACCTTTTGAGTAACTACACCCATCAGTGGCACTTATGCAAAATACCCTTGTGTTTATTTAGGGAATATTTGGTTCAGTTGATGTGCTTTCTGAGAACAGTTTAGAACTCTGAGTGCCACTGAACACACATCACCGAATTGAAATACATTTTGCTGAATCAGTGTAGAAAATACAACCTTTAACATGGACCAACCAGCTATAAGCTCAAAGCAATGTATTAGCAACAGTAAAATCAAAATAAGATTTTAAAGTCAGCTGAAATGGATAATTATTTTAAAATAATTTTAGACTTTGAAATTGTTTTGGAAAAAGTATTGAAATTAGATGGCCAAAGAACATAAAATCATTGCTTTCATATAATTATTATAATTTGTTAATTTTATTAAATAGTGTATTTAAGTTTTATATATATATATATATATATATATATATATATATATATATATATATATATATATATATATATATATATATATATATATATATATATATATATATATATTATAGTTTGTTTGAAAATTATTATTTTAGATGGACAGGGAAAATTTAGTAGATTAATAGAAGTCACTTTTGACAATTTGCATTGCTGCAACTGTGTGTCTAGAAATGAGCATAAAATCAAGAGCTGGCTTTTATGTGATGGTCATAATTTGTTTCAAAATGCAAAGTAAATTAATTGCAAAATGTTTGCAAATTGTCGTTATTTCAGATGTGCAGGGAAAATTGTATTAGCTGAAGTGGCTGTGAAATGTGTATAAAAACCAGTGTTGGCAATGGCAGCTGTATTGATTTTTAAAGGGAGCGATTTTAGTGAGTCGTGATGTATTAGACTATTTCCAAGAATCTGGAATTACTTTTCATCAAGTGTAAAAATAAAAGCATAAAAAAAGGAAAGTATCAAAATATAAAGGGGGTTTCCTTTACCATTTAACACATTTTCTTCTTGAAGTCTAAAATTTTGGTTCTTTCAAGTGCAATCCCTCAAGCACGTACATGAAGGTTAGTCCAAATCTGTATTCTGACCATCATCTTCTTTCCTCTTGTGCAGGTCTTTCGCAGTGGAGAGGGCATGGGTATCAGGCTGGACAGCGCGTCTGCCTTCCAGGGTGCTATTATTTCCCCTCATTACGATTCACTCCTGGTGAAAGTCATCGCCAGTGGAAAGAATCTGCCAGCGGCCTCTGCCAAAATGAGCCGAGCATTAGCGGAGTTTCGCGTCCGTGGGGTCAAGGTAAGGATTTTCTCAACAGTGCTTGCATAAACGATCCGGGGCAGCACGACTGCGGTCAGATTCAGCATAGACCTCTGGAAATTGATTCATTTGCACCTTTAAAGGTGCTGTGGTGTCAAACTGAGATTGTGCGTTGTGCTGGTCATAGATTTTTTTCGAGTAAATGTCATGCCTTTAATCAATTACTTTAGAATTTTTTTTAAATAAAACTTACCAGCTTAGCTCATGAATATTAATTATGCGAAGCCATCTAATTAATATTCATCAGGCTAAGTAGTTCCGTGACCTCACACTTTTAGAATGGCTGGTCAAGGTGCACAATGCCAAAAATGGTAACTTCCCATGAAAAAGCAAGCACAACAAAGCAGAAGCCTGACAAATTGAGTAAGAGATCAGATGAGAAGGGATTTTTTTTCCGTGACGGAATCTATGGATTCTCTTTTCCCCTATTAAATGTGTTGTTCTTTTGAAACGCATCTGAGCCGCAGTCTTGTCACATGTCATGCTGGCTGCCATCTGAGGCTCTGATATTAGACCTTGAGTGAGCTAAAAACATTTCCATTTGGAAGATCTTGAGCTTTTTTTTTTATCTCCCACACACACAAACCTGAACATGCTGGATGAGTCACGTTAGACCATAGATGGTAACACGCACGTATAATATAGTATTTATCAGCATAATGTGATCAGAGTTGGAATGATGGCACTAATGGCACTCTCGGATGAAGGGTGCAGACCTCACCATTTTCTGATGTGCAGTTTCGGAGGAAGGGAGGGGTGCGGATGGGAGAAGTTGTCATGAAATGTTTGTACTTAATCAGCCTGAATAAAATAAATGTGTTTACATAAACCATTAGGGAAGGAGCTTTCCTGTAAGCGTCTTTAGAAATTTGTTTGGGGGGTATTAGGAGAACCTATCTTTGTTTTGGCTGCTTTAATTTGGGAGTTTTCAGAACGCTGCATTTTATTTGGGGATGAAACGAGAATATAGCTCTAAAGACTAGTGAGCTGCCTATAAAGGGAACATTTTTACGGAAGCCCTGAACCGCAACCTAAAAAAAAAAAAAGTCAGTAAAAAAAAAAAAAATCTGTAAAAAAAAAAATAAAAATCTAGCATTTCAAGATTAAAGTCGAAATGTTTCGAGATTAAAGTCGAAATGTTTCGAGATTAAAGTCGGAATGTTTCGAGATTAAAGTCGAAATGTTTCGAGAATAAAGTCGAAATGTTTCGAGATTAAAGTCGAAACGTTGTGCATTCATAACAGTGCGCGTCCACTGGCTCAGAGCGAGCGCGCGCGCGCGCGTGCGTGTGTGTGTGAAGTCGAACTGCCATGGATAAACCCAAAATAGTAGCTTTTTACTTTTATCTGGGCTTTCAACAAAATTCTACACACGTCACACGTGCTATAGTGGCAGTGTTTCTGAGGTGTTTTCGTGCTCGTCTAGTCAACACTATCTGGGTCGAGAACACAACAGTAACTGTTCGGTCTCCCTCTTCAACGTAAATACGCTCTGGATACATTTTAAGTGCATCATTCTGTATCCAATCATTTGGCCGGATCCTGTGATTTCCTAAGATTTAATAACCACTTATGGTTGAGGAGAGATTCTCTGATATGATTGTAAAGCAATTTGAGTGTAGGCATATATGAAAGCGCTATATAAATGCCCTATTCATTCATTCATTCATTCATTCATTCATTCATTCATTCATTCCTAAAGCTGGATTTCTCCATCCAGTCTGAAAAGTGTTTTCCGTGTTGGTTTTCCTATAGGCTAAAGTCTATTCTGGCGCATTATATTTTATAACGATAAAGTAAGATAAGTAATTCAGATAAAAGTAAAAAGCTACTATTTTGTGTTTATCCATGGCAGTTCGACTTCACGCGCACACGCGCGCGCTCTGAGCCAGTGGACGCGCACTGTTATGAATGCACAATGTTTCGACTTTAATCTCGAAACATTTCGACTTTAATCTCGAAACATTTCGACTTTAATCTCGAAACATTTCGACTTTAATCTCGAAACATTCCGACTTTAATCTCGAAACATTCCGACTTTAATCTCGAAACATTCCGACTTTAATCTCGAAACATTCCGACTTTAATCTCGAAACATTCCGACTTTAATCTCGAAACATTCCGACTTTAATCTCGAAACATTCCGACTTTAATCTCGAAATGCTAGATTTTTTTTTTTTTTTTTTTTTTACAGATTTTTTTTTTTTTTTTACTGACTTTTTTTTTTTTTTTTAGGTTGCGGTTCAGGGCTTCCGTACATTTTAGGCATGGTTCACTGACGAATGAAAATTCTGTCTACATTTATACACCGTCATACTTAGCCGTACCCAACATTGAGGAGCCTAAAGTCCGGATGGTTTTATTTTTTTCCCCCAAAAGATGTATCTACTAAAAGTTGTAAAATTTTAATTTAACTTGGGTGGTGCAAGGGTATTGCTTAACACCAAAATAAATCATGAGCACCAAGATAACTCATTTAAGATGACCAATCAAAATAGGCAGATTGAGTGTGAATTCCATTGTCACGTTTAAAGGGATAGTTCACCCAAAAGTGAAAATAGCCCATGATTTACTCGCCCTGAATCCATCCTAGGTGTACTATATACGTCATTCTTCTTTCAGACAAATACAATCGAAGTTATATTGGATATTAAATGGATAAATGGACATTTTTCTTCCACGAACGCATCTATTCACTTCAGAAGGGCTTTATTAACTCCTGGAGATGCGTGGAACACTTTAATAATGAATAGATGCGCTTTGATGGACTTTCAAAGACGTACAGCCATTCACTCCCATTATAAAGCTTGGAAGAGCAAGGACGTGTTTTAATATAACTTCAATTGTATTAGTTTGAAAGAAGAATGTCATATACACCTAGGATGCTTCAGGGTGAGTAAATCATGGGCTAATTTTCATTTTTGAGTGAACTATCCCTTTAAGGCAGGTGAAGTTTAGCCAAATAAAATATAGGGAAGCGGGAAGCGGAAGGCAAGCAAACCAAAGGCCCATCATTTAAAGTATCAACAGCTTGCCCTCTAATCATGTTTGCTATTAAATATTTGTTTTGGATTGATATATTTTTAGAGTTTACAACAAAAACAAAAATCATCTGTCAGCATCTGTCTAAAAAACAATCTTAACCATTCTATTTCATCAGAAACGATCTTAAAACAGGGCTTTAATTGTAAAATCCCAAACTTGTCCCAAACTTTTAAAGCACATGTAAATGCACTTAAAAACAAACTTAATTTTGAGGTTCCTTTCTGTTAGGATGCTGCCTATGTATGGCAGTGAGGCAGCTCAGAAGGTTTTATGCGTCTCATGTGAGGAGACGTATGCATTTGAAGTCATATGAGCTTTGAAGGGTCGGCCGTCAGGGAAGCTTTTAAAGCACTGCATCGGTTTTCTGACCTCTTAGTTTTTCCTCCTAACACATTCTCTCTCTCTCTCGCTCTCCCTGATCTCCCTTCCATCTTGCCCTATGCACAAATCTTAAAAATTGCTCCAACATGACTTTAAATACCTTTCAAGATGATTTTTTCTTTCCTTTCCGGAAAGATCTGCTGTCCATTTGCTCGTGTTTCTCCCATCTAAATTTCCCCTCGGCTAGAGTAAAGTTTGTGACAGAAAATCTCCGAAAATTGCCTTGCACCGACTCTGTCATTCCACCCCAATATTTCTCTTTACGCCTTTCTGCACCTTGCGCTCTCTACAATCAGGAAAGTCCTCGATTACCCTGCGGGCCACATTCCCAAGCGTGACTAGAGAACCTGGCCTCAGAAGAATTCTCCGAATCTCTTCAAGCTGCTGGGCGTCATGTCCGGAGCTTGAGAAGTGCCGCTGCCTGCCTGTTTTTAATGAAGACTGATGAAGTGCGCTCCAGGATATGCGTGAAGTTCAAACCTCTCCTGCTACCTTAATTTACTGGCTTCCTCTTCCTTCCACATTTGATTAATCTCACTCTCTTCACCAAATTAACACCCCATGTTTTTTTTTTTTTGTTTGTTTTTTTTTGCATGATCGCTTACACTATTTTTCCGTCTCTCTGTTTTATCACTCCTCTTTCTAAACCTGTTCCCGCCACTGCTCTCAGCAGGAGGGAATTGTTGGGAGGCTGGAGGGAGGCTGTTGTTCTCCTTTGCGGCTTGGGAGCTCCCTAGTTTTTATTAGGCATCTTCAAATAGCCAATTTATCTAGTACCGCCACCACAAGATTTAATTACCTGTTGAAAAAATGGATTGTGCTTATGACAACCATTTGCTGAGGTGGAATGGAGAAACCAGTATCTATTATTTTTGGGGGGTTGCTGCTTGCTGACGATCTGGATCAGGACTAGTGGATGTAGTAATATAGGACAACTACTAATTAGTCAAGTCAAGTCAAATATATTTATATAGCGCTTTTCACAATACAGATTGTATCAAAGCTGCTTCACAGTATCAATCAAGACAACTTAACAGTGTTTGTTTATTCATGAAAAAAAGACAATCAAGTTTGGTAGAGCTGATCAATGGTTTGATGGGTCATTTAATTTGAATATCCCCAACTGAGCGGCAAGGAACCGAAAAACTCCATCAAGTGACCCAATGGTGTCCTAAAACTCCATCAGATGACCCAATGGAGAAAAAAAAACCTTGGGAGAACCCAGGCTCAGTCTGGCGTTTATAAACTAGAGGCCAAATGTACAGTAACTGTAAGATACGAAATTTATATGAATGCCAGGCTAAATAGATGCAAATTACTAATTTGTCATTCATATTATTCTTTTATTCACAGCGACTTATTGTACTAGAGCCCTATTACAATGGTTGGGTGAGAATGCCAAAAAAAAGGATGACAGTGTTGGATGAATCTTAAAAGTATTTACCTACATTTCAGTGGCATACAGCAGTATCAAACAATGATTTAGAAGTTAGATTATAAGTTAGTTAGAATCCGACTAGACGTCTTTGCCTGAGGAGGTTACCATAGCAACAG